GGGAGACCCGGATGCACTTGACATCCCGACTCCGCGCTCTTACGCGAAGGCGATAGAGGGTCCCTACTCCTCTCAGTGGCAGGCAGCTGTGGACACACAGATGGCTTCCTGGAAGTCCACAGGCACCAACGTTGACGAGGTTCCCCCGCCTGGAGCGAACATCGTCAGTGGCATGTGGATTTTCAGGGTGAAGCGGCCGCCGGGTTCTCCGTCTGTCTTCAAGGCGCGTTACGTGGCTCGTGGCTTCAGTCAGCGGCAGAGAGTTGACTACTTTCAGACCTTCTCTCCCACCCCGAAGATGACCACTCTTTGGGTACTACTGCACATAGCTGCTCACCGCGACTACGAGCTGCACTCTCTTGACTTCAGCACTGCTTTCTTGCAGGGCAGCCTGCACGAGGAGATCTGGCTGCGTCGCCCACCTGGCTTCACTGGGACTTTTCCTCCTGGCACCCAGTGGAGCCTCCGGCGGCCAGTCTACGGTCTCTGCCAGGCACCGCGTGACTGGCACGACACACTGAGGACTACACTTGCGGCTCTTGGGTTTGCTCCCTCTACTGCCGACCCGTCGCTGTTTCTGCGCACCGACACTTCTCTGCCGCCGTTCTACATCCTCGTGTACGTCGACGACTTAGTCTTTGCCACAGCTGACACTGCTGGACTCGCCCACGTGAAGTCCGAGCTGCAGAAGAGACACACGTGCACAGACCTGGGTGAACTGCGCAACTACCTTGGCTTGCAGATCACCCGAGACAGAGCACGCCGCACCATTACCCTGACTCAGTCACACATGGTGCAGCAGGTCCTTCAGCGCTTCGGCTTCACGTACTCCTCACCTCAGGCCACTCCTGTGCCTACTCGCCACTCGCTCTCAGCTCTGCCTTCGGATGAGTCCGTAGAGTCGAGTGGCGAGTACCCAGAGCTTGTTGGCACGGAATTTACCCTTCTGCGCAGGGCAGGTTGTGCTTTCTGGACACCAAGAATCTCAGACTGCCGCAGCCCGCGAAACTACGGCCCCGATACGTGGGACCATTTCGTATCATCCAGATGGTGACACCTGTCACCGCGAAGCTACTTGCTGCCCGACGACTGGAAAATACACGACGCATTCTACGTCAGCCTGCTGCGTCATTACGAACAGCCGCAGTCGCCAGCTGTTGCTCGGCCAACCATCACGCCGATCGCACGCCCCGTGGCAGAGCCCACACTGGAACCTTGGAAGATTCTCAACCATCGCGTGGACGTGACTGCCACCGACCGCTCAGTGAAATTCCTGCTTCGCTGGAAAGAACGCACGAGCGAGGACGACACGTATGTCGCCGCTGACTCGCTACTGGGACATCCGGTTGTCGATGCTTATCTGGCCCGCCGAGGTGTCTCGGATATTCACCACCTTTCTTAAGGGGGGGGGGGGGGGGGGGGGCAGTGTAATGATTTTTTCGGATTCCTTACTGTGTCACACTGTACGCGTACAACCCCGACTTTCGGAAAACCAGGCTCGGTCCGCCGACCTCGCCTTCCGAGCCACTACCGCGTCACTTTCGGGTTTCCCAACCCCGAACCTGGACCCAACCATCTCGCGACCCGGCGACCTCGGCCTAGCTAGCTTCGCTATATTAGTCCTAGGCCTCGTTGTGTTCTCAGACGTTGTAATCACTTCCGCATTATTGAGTACTGCGCACTCTTCCTTTCACAACTCATAACAGTGAGCCATATCAGGTGTATCGCTGTGGCTTACACCTGTATTTGGGTTTGTGGTACAGCCCAATGTCACTGCTGTGCAAGCCGCGTTGGATGATTGCTGTGCTTTCGTGGCACACTGATTTTGTGGATATCTTCCGATGCGGCACGATAGGATTGGCTGGAATTACAGCATATTTCTGAGTTTCCTTTTGCAAAATCTTGTGGTGCTGGAATATCAGCAATGATGAGCGTGCGGCCATTCGATCGCATGAAACATTCTAGCTCCTTCCAGGGGATGTGGATAATGATGGAGTGGTGTGTTGGCTTTGCTGGCTGCCCTATTGTTTCCCTGAATCTTTCGTTTTGGGCTCTCAATTCTTACAACCCGAAAACTTTGTGGGGGTACACGTAGGTCCCTTCGACTGTTGATAGGGGATGGCTGGACTAAACTGTGGTGGCTGGATGCTTCAGATCTGCTGAATGTTTATGGATATGATTACAATCTGGAAACTCGTGTGTGGTGCAGTCTTTTGCGGTTGGTCCGCGTCATCATCGAGGGTCCTTGCATTTGCTCGCCCACCACGCCCCTCAGATGTCAGGGGCTGTTTAAGAATCAGTGGCAGATTCACGCCATGCGCTATCAAGTGGCGTATCCTTGTGTTTGTATTGACAACAAGTCTCAGGGTAAATGCTAGTTCCTGACTAAAAATCCAAGGTATTGTTTAGCCGAACTCGGATTTTTACAGGGGATGTTTTCTGCCAGCCCTGACTGAATCCGAGCACTTCCAGGACTCTGATGAATCCGAGTAGTCCCTCGAAGGACTCGGAACTTTTTCTAAGGCTCTAACCACCCCCAACCTCGCCCCTCCTCAACAAAGGTAGACTTCTCCCCCGCTTCCTGGACTTGTGAGCGCTTCACTCCCGCCTCTCTGTTCCTTAGTCAAATTCGGAGGCCCTGTACACTTCCGCTCTCTGTGAGCAGAGGTCCACACGAAAGCAGCACCAGTTCACCGACACAGAGTTTCAACATCAGCTTTTGTCAGAAAGAAGTCTCCAGTGTCGCGTATTTTCGAATTACTTTAACGAGGAAATTCTAGGCCAGCCCTGATATTTCCGAGCGGTTTTTCGGCTGACCCTGCGTTTTCAGGCCATTTTTTGAAGGGAGCCAAACCGTCCGAATTGGCGAAAAGCCGAACTTAAGCCCTGATTGACAAACACGACAATTTTTTTTATCAACCACCATAACCCCGTGTAGTTTTTTTTATGACTCTTATGTGGGCATTTCCTACCTGATGTGCGTAAAGTTTTTGTTTCCTGATTCTCAATGGAAGTACACAGGGGCAGATTATAGTTTCTGCACATTCAAGGCTCAGCATGTGAGCTCAAGCCGCGTCAGACCCTTCCTCGGCGTCACGTCACCCGTCTGTGCGTTTCCCACATTCCAGTTTATGGAGAACATTACGATTGCCCCAAAACTACCCGAATAACAAGCTTTGCCCAGTAACATTGTTTTTGCTGCTCAGCAATTCGCGGCACATTTTGCAACGACTGAAGTGATTCGAGTGTGTCCGTCCATCAACCCTCGCCCTCGCCCCAACGTACAGTGACCTGCTGCTTCGTCGTCCTCAACCGCATCAGCCCCCACGATTCCCAACCAGATGTCCTTTCCACCTCACTCCCCTTTCCAGCCTCAACTAGAACGCCTTGTGTTCTGTGCTTCCAGTTCACACACCCTTCCTCCCCCATCCCTTGCCTTCAGCAACCAAGTCACAACACAACTGTAGGGAGTTTCACAGTTCCACATAACAAAGCTCTTATCTGTTCCACGTTGCTTTCAAGGACGTTCCTCACGGGAGTGTTGCCTCTGCTTTTTCGTCGTGCACCCAGCCGATCACAAAAGCGCTGAGGAGTTTTACTTGACGAATCCGCTTGCTTCCTGCTGCAGTAAAACCACTGATTTTCGAGCTACCTTCACTTGCTCCTGCTCTTCCAAAACCATGGAGAAAGAACGCTCGTCGGAATTTGCATCCGCGTTTGCTTCCACCAAATTCTGCTCCTATCCAGCCTATTCCTACCTACCGCGACCGCACTCCACCGCATCAGCATCCATGTCTGTCGTCTCCGCTCTCAACCACGACCCCATGCTATCCGCGCAGCACTCCATAGCCCCTTCCTGCAGCGTCGTTCCCCCAGACGGCTCCTCCGCCTGGCCCGCCTCCGCCGCTGTAGCCGCTGCTGCGGCGGCGCAAGCGCAAGCGCAGTCCCACGCGCCCATGTGGGCCTCCTCGCCATTCCATTGCCAGGCGCTTCCGCCTCCCGCACCCAACGGCTCCGCGTGCTTCTCGTTCCCCGGAGCCGAACCTGCGCCGCCCATGTTCACGTTTCCGCAGTTCCGCCTGACGAACACTCTCGCTGCGGCGCAGCTGATGGAAGCGGGAGCTTCCGCCTCCGCCGCCGCTGCCGCTGCCGCGTCCGAATCTGACAGTAAGGGCAAGCGGCTCAACGAAAATGCGTCAGAAGCGTTAAGCAATCCGGCTCTCGCGCTGCGACCGCGGAAAAGAGGACGTCCTTCGAAAAAAGACCGCGCTGCAGCCGCGGCGGCAGCGGCGGCGGCGGTAGCGGCATCGCAAACCGCATCTGCAGCTGCACGAACTGCGTCCGCAGCGATTGGCGCAGCCTCTCCCGCCGGCGGTACCTCTGCGGATTGTAACCCGCTGGAACAGACAGCTACAGGCGTTACTGGCGGTGCCACAACCACGGACCAATCCAACCTCACCACGAGCCAGCCTGCTGTCACCGAACGGAAAATGCCGCAGCTTTTACCGCGTATGCCCGCCTCCGCCACTTCCATCCCCTCCGCCGGGTTTCCGCCCATGCACGTGTCTTTGCCGTACGGCGCAAATCTGACCGCGTCTCCCATGCACCCGTCGATGTTTTCCGGTGGTCCGTATGCTGCGGCGGCAGCGGCGGCCGCGGCGGCTGCGGCTGCGGCAATGGTTGCGCCTGCCACTGGCGCCGCTGGGCCGTGTTCGTCGCTAGGCTCGTTTTCGCAGGTCATGTACGAAGCTGCACAACAGCAGCAGCAACAGCAACAGCAGCAACAGCAGCTGCAGATGCAGCAGCAACAGGCGCAAGTCATGCAGCCGCAGATGTTCGCAGCAGCTACGCCGCTCAGCGCCACGGCGGGGAGCGCGCCGCCGCCTGTCCTTGGTATCCCGGTTCACGGTTATAATATTTTCTCCTTGGTCAAACCGCTCGAGAGCACGCTACGCGCGGCGTCCGTGAGCTTGCCGCAGCCTTCCGTTCTGAAACCCGCTATGTCCGTCGCGAATGGCGCGACTGGCGGCGCCGCTAACGATGCCGGTCTGTTACAGGTTCAAGAGCAGCAGGGCAGTAGCGGAGCTGTGAAACCTTCCGCGACGGCTGCTGCTGGTGGGGCTGAGAACGGCGGAAAGGATGGTGACGCTGCTTCACCGGGCACTGCGGGTCGATCGTCGCTTAGCTCTGAAGTGTCCCCCTCGCCAGATGCGATCCCGGCCATCGATTGGATGCTCGGGCAGATGAAACGTTCGCTGGGTCAGCAGAAAAAAGAGACTGGTGCTGCTTCGAGCGTGGTGGCGGAGCACGGGGATGAAACCCCTGCTGCAGCGGGCAGTGGTTCAGCTGGTAGTGGTTCCGCTTGGCTGCCCGTTCCCCGGTCGCACAGATCTGCCCCTCCCCCCGAAGTTGTCAACGCAGCCGCGAAGCTTTTGGCGGGAACTGGGACGCTGCTCGACCAGAATGAAATTAAGGGCCTTGGGAATTCCGCGAAGTCTAAAGCATCCGTATTAGGGTTCGGTTCAGTAGCAGCGTTTCCGACGAAGGGTGTTGCATTGAATTTTGCATTTGAGGCTGCTAATGGGGCAGACAATGGAGTGGAAGCAGCAGGTGGAGAGATGGGTGAAATTACTAAGCAAAGAGGAGCTCCTAAGGTTGATCTTACGCTCAAGCTCTGAAGATGGTCAGGACTCAGAAGGTTTTGCTGAGATGGCTGCTGATATGGTCCCTAAGTCTTTCAAGGCCAACATGGACTAGAGTTTCTAGTGTCCAGACCAGACACCAGGACGGGCTGCCGCTGCAGTGGTTGTGCAAGCTCTCGTGCCGCTCCATCGGCGTCTTATTTAATAGCTGCACTTCCTTATGGATTCTTAGGTACTGTCATTTCTTGGTGTGGTTTGCTGAGTGTGACAGCTATTTGTTTTTGCTAACCATTCTGGTTGTTAGTCTAAAACTCACTATTGAATCAAGGCTGTAAATAATAACTTTTATGATAAGATGTACGACCAAACCCACTTTTCCCAACCAGTCCTTGAAACGCTCTTTGCGCAAGAGTTAAGCTTGATCACCCAACCAAAGAGGATGAGCTCACTGCAGCAACCACAGAAAGCCAAAGCCAGTGCGCACCTTTTTCGCGCTCACACCTGCTTGTCGTCGTGTCAGTTCCATCGCAATGCGGCTACAACCTGGCCCGTTCTGACCGATCATTACATTTCACGACACTGGTAGCTTTCTGGAGTGAATTTGACCTAAATTCACGCGATCAGCGCGCATTTCAAGCTGCAACAGGAGGCTGCATGATACGCCGTCTCGTCGCCAGTTCACCTGTCAAACGGTCGCAACAGACATGAGTTACGCGGCCTATAAAGTTGTCCACCCGCCGACCGGCGTCACATGCTGTGCGTCTGGGTTCCTTACTCGCTCCGCGGCCGCCGAGCCTCTGCCGAACCTGATCGTCAGCCGCGGAAATGTCTTGCAAGTGTTTTCGGTGCGAAGCGACGTGGTGCGCGGGGAGGCGGAGGAGGGGGAGCGGAAAGGGGAAGCGGGGAAAGACGGGGGAAGTCGCAATGATGCAGGAAACAGCGTTCTTCCTGGAGCAACGCTGGATGTTGTCTGCGAGTTCAGGTGGGGGTACACGCAATAATCAAAGCGAAGGTAAAACAACCTTTGAAGTCACTTCCTGGAGCAACACTGGAGTTTACTGGTTCAGGTGGGGATAAATGCAAGAATGAAAGTGATGATAAGTCAAACTCGGGAGGCGGAGGATGGGGAGGGGAAGGGGAAGCGGGAAGCAGCGTTTTTCCTGGAACAACCCTGGATGTTGTCTGCGAGTTCAGGTGGGGAAGCAAATGCAAGAAGGAAAACGAAGGTAAAAACGGTTCCTTTAATTTTCTTTCCAATTTACCTCCTTTTCTCCCTTTTCCTCTTGTTACAGGCTGAACGGAGTGGTAGAGAGCATAGCGGTCGTGCCAGGCGCGGCAGCAGCTGACGCAGCAGGCTGGGTGGGGACTGGGGGAGGTGGATCTAACTCCACGGGTGGTGGGGGAAAAGGAGCAGGGCGAGGTGCGGCAGGGGGAGAGGGGGGCGGGAGAGGAGGGAGAGGGAGGGGGGGACGGCAATCGGGAAGGAGAGAAGGAAGAGGTGGTGCAGGGAGCGCAGGGGACCCGAGTGCAGCACAGGGTGCTACTGGTGGTGGCATTGGCAGTGGAAACAGCAGCGTTTGTGGTAGTGGCAGCGGCAGCGGCAGTGGCGGCATGGGGTACAGTGGTCGCAAGGATGCGTTGGTGCTGACGTTTCGAGAGGCCAAAGTGTCCGTGGTGGAGTTTGATGATGCGGTGCAGAGGCTCAAAGTCAGGTGCGGATGGTGCATGCATGGGTATGCATGGGTATGTGTGTGCGGGGGCACTTGCACTGGGCAGTGGGCAAGGCATGCCATGGCACACCATGCGATGCGCCTAGGTGTTTGTTGTGGAGTCCGATGATGTAGGGTTTTTTTGTTGTTGAGAATTCTAAAAAAAAACCTACAGCATCATGCTAGGTGCCTAGGTGTTTGTTGTGGAGTCTGATTATGCTAATGAGAGGCTGTAGTTACCTATATTTACCTCCCACCCTCCCTTCCATCCATCCACCAACCCAATTTGTGATCCCAACAGCTCCCTGCATTACCTCGAAGGGCCTGAGTGGACGGCCCGAAAGCGGGGCAGAGAAAACTTTCCGCTCCCGCCCATCGCGCGCTCCGATTGGTCGGGCAGGTGCTCTGCTGTGCTGGTGTACCGCTGCCACCTGCACTTTCTCACTCGCAAGCAGCCAGGTCACACCCAGACAGGTCACAACCATCCAGGCAACACAGAGACAGGTCCAGATGCTGCCCTCATCTCTCCCACAACCCAACGTTCTGCTTCCTTCAAGGGAGGCTTGGACCGTTCCTCCTCATTCCGAGGAGGCTCAGCAGGCGAGGCTCCCAGGTTTGGCGGCTCGTTCACTATCGACTTGCGCCCCCTTGGGATCTCCAATGTAAGGAAGCCGCACCGCAATCTGCTCGGCTGTTGTGGATGCAAGGCCGTCGGTAGGTAGTCTGCATAATGATTGTCTGTCCCCTTGGGATTTCCAATATAAGAGATCTGCACCGCATGAATTGAGATTCTGCAACGTTGCGTGCACAAAGGAGGGGATTGCAAAAACCCAGATCGAAGGATCTGCTGCAGCCCGTTTGCTGTGCAAAAACCTCTTTTGAGTCGACTCAAAAGTCACCTCGTTACAATGGCACACGACACTTTTTGAGTCAACTCAAAAGTCAAACCCAGATTGAAGGATCTGCTGCAGCCCGTTTGCTGTGCAAAAACCTCTTTTCCTAACCTTTTCTGTGCCTCTTCCTATGTGCCCACCTCGATAGCCTTCCTTCCCCATGCCTCCTTCAATCAAGGTCCCTCAGAAGTGACTTTTGAGTCGACTCAAAAGTCACCTCTTCCTATGTGCCCACCTCAATAGCCTTCCTTCCCCATGCCTCCTTCAATCAAGGTCCCTCAGAAGCCTTTCCTGTACGCTCCTTCGTCCTCCTCCCCTGTCCTGTCCTCCCGAACCTCCAGGTGCGGGATTTTGTCTTCTTGTCCGAGCCTGGAGACCCGATCGTAGCAGTGTTGTGGGAGGAGGGCAGCGCGTGGGCGGGGAGGCTGGGAGGGTCATCCCCTGCTGTTCTAGAGGCCCGCTTCTCCTGTGCTGTCACCTTTCTGCGAGTGTCCCTGCACACCCGCTCACACCTCATACTTGGGACCACCAAGGTGAGCATAGTAGCAGAGCAGCGTTGTGGGAGGAGGGCAGCGTATGGGCGGGAGGCTGGGAGGCTCGTCCCCTGCTGTTCTAGGGGCCCGCTTCTCCTGTGCTGTCACCTTTCTGCGAGTGTCCCTGCACACCCGCTCACACCTCATTCTTGGGACGACCCCCTCACACCAGCGGATTTTCTCTGCGATGGTCATTGCCTCCCTCTCCCCTCCCTCTCCCCCCTCGCTCCGCCCTTCTTGCAGCATCTTCCTTTCAATTCTTGCAGTCTGTTCCCCGCCCCCTTCCCCAAAACCTCTTCCCCTCTCCCCTCCCGCTCCCTCCCTCTCCCCTCCCGCTCTCCTCGCTCTCCCCCCCTTCTCCCCCCACACTCCACCGTTCTTGCAGCATCTCCCCTTGGACGCCTACGCGCTCTTCCCGCCCCCCTTCCCGCTCTGGAGTGGAGCCGGCTCGTCCTCCCTCCCCACTCCCTCCACTTCCGCTCCTTGAGAATTCTTAAAAACGAGCCTTCCCTCCCTACCCTCCCTGCTCCACCCTACCTGCAGCATCTTCCATTTGACTCCTACGCGCTCTCCCCCGCCCCGTTCCCCCCCGGGGGGCTCCTCGTCCTCTCCCCCCACTCCCTCCACTTCTGCTCCTCCTCCTCCACCTTCCACCTGGCTCTCAACGATTCGTCGCCGCCCGCACTGCCAGATGGCACCGAGATCCCCCGTCCACGTCAGCAGCCAGGGCAGGTGCCGCTGTCTGTGGAGCTGGAAGCAGCCCATGCCACGTGGCAGCCTGTGATTGGGCCAAGTGGAGGGCCGGTCGGGGTTGGTGGGAGCAGCAGCAGTGCTGTTGCGTTTCTTGCGAGTAAAGGCGGCGCTCTGGTGGTGGTGAAAGTGACTCCTGAGGCCAAGTAAGGACGTGGGATGAGTCAAGCTTAGATTAGCGACATGGCAAGTGGAGGTAGGGGGGAGTCAAAGAAAGGACAGATGTACCTATCCCAGATTCTGTACATTGTCATGCTTGCAAGAGAGTGGAAAGCGGCTGTGCTTTCCGCTTGCTCCCTCTGCGTCTCTCCGTCCGCCCACTATACAACACGTCAGGCCACCCGGGCCATCTTCCTGTCTTTTGAGAATTCTCAAAAGCCATCTTCCTGTCTTTTGAGAATTCTCAATAGCCATCTTCCTGTCTTTTGAGAATTCTCAAAAGCCATCTTCCTGTCGTTTGAGAATTCTCAAAAGCCATCTTCCTGTCTTTTGAGAATTCTCAAAAGCCATCTTCCTGTCTTTTGAGAATTCTCAAAAGCCATCTTCCTGTCTTTTGAGAATTCTCAAAAGCCATCTTCCTGCCCAGGTCTCAATACAGGTCTGTGCCACGGCTCGTGCAGGCTAGTGCTCATACAGAAACGCATCAGACTGTTTATCAACCCTTTTAATCACACATCCCACATTGAGGATGTTCCACGCAAATGAGCGGCTTCCAGTTCCACCCTCTCACCCTTTCCTCCCTCTCACCCTTTCCACCCTCTCACCCTTTCCACCCTCTCACCCTTTCCTCCCTCTCACCCTTTCCTCCCTCTCACCCTTTCCTCCCTCTCACCCTTTCCACCCACTCACCCTTTCCTCCCTCTCACCCTTTCCACCCTCTCACCCTTTCCTCCCTCTCACCCTTTCCACCCTCTCACCCTTTCCTCCCTCTCACCCTTTCCACCCTCTCACCCTTTCCTCCCTCTCACCCTTTCCACCCTCTCACCCTTTCCTCCCTCTCTCCCTTTCCTCCCTCTCACCCTTTCCACCCTCTCACCCTTTCCACCCTCTCACCCTTTCCTCCCTCTCACCCTTTCCTCCCTCTCACCCTTTCCACCCTCTCACCCTTTCCACCCTCTCACCCTTTCCACCCTCTCACCCTTTCCTCCCTCTTACCCTTTCCACCCTCTCACCCTTTCCACCCTCTCACCCTTTCCACCCTCTCACCCTTTCCTCCCTCTCACCCTTTCCACCCTCTCACCCTTTCCTCCCTCTCACCCTTTCCTCCCTCTCACCCTTTCCACCCTCTCACCCTTTCCTCCCTCTCACCCTTTCCTCCCTCTCACCCTTTCCACCCTCTCACCCTTTCCACCCTCTCACCCTTTCCACCCTCTCACCCTTTCCTCCCTCTTACCCTTTCCACCCTCTCACCCTTTCCACCCTCTCACCCTTTCCACCCTCTCACCCTTTCCTCCCTCTCACCCTTTCCACCCTCTCACCCTTTCCTCCCTCTCACCCTTTCCTCCCTCTCACCCTTTCCACCCTCTCACCCTTTCCTCCCTCTCACCCTTTCCTCCCTCTCACCCTTTCCACCCTCTCACCCTTTCCTCCCTCTCACCCTTTCCTCCCTCTCACCCTTTCCACCCTCTCACCCTTTCCACCCTCTCACCCTTTCCACCCTCTCACCCTTTCCTCCCTCTTACCCTTTCCACCCTCTCACCCTTTCCACCCTCTCACCCTTTCCACCCTCTCACCCTTTCCTCCCTCTCACCCTTTCCACCCTCTCACCCTTTCCTCCCTCTCACCCTTTCCACCCTCTCACCCTTTCCTCCCTCTCTCCCTTTCCTCCCTCTCACCCTTTCCTCCCTCTCACCCTTTCCACCCTCTCACCCTTTCCTCCCTCTCACCCTTTCCTCCCTCTCACCCTTTCCACCCTCTCACCCTTTCCACCCTCTCACCCTTTCCACCCTCTCACCCTTTCCTCCCTCTTACCCTTTCCACCCTCTCACCCTTTCCACCCTCTCACCCTTTCCACCCTCTCACCCTTTCCTCCCTCTCACCCTTTCCACCCTCTCACCCTTTCCTCCCTCTCACCCTTTCCACCCTCTCACCCTTTCCTCCCTCTCTCCCTTTCCTCCCTCTCACCCTTTCCTCCCTCTCACCCTTTCCACCCTCTCACCCTTTCCTCCCTCTCACCCTTTCCTCCCTCTCACCCTTTCCACCCTCTCACCCTTTCCACCCTCTCACCCTTTCCACCCTCTCACCCTTTCCTCCCTCTCACCCTTTCCTCCCTCTCACCCTTTCCACCCTCTCACCCTTTCCTCCCTCTCACCCTTTCCTCCCTCTCACCCTTTCCACCCTCTCACCCTTTCCTCCCTCTCACCCTTTCCTCCCTCTCACCCTTTCCACCCTCTCACCCTTTCCATCCTCTCACCCTTTCCTCCCTCTCACCCTTTCCACCCTCTCACCCTTTCCTCCCTCTCACCCTTTCCTCCCTCTCACCCTTTCCACCCTCTCACCCTTTCCTCCCTCTCTCCCTTTCCTCCCTCTCACCCTTTCCACCCTCTCACCCTTTCCACCCTCTCACCCTTTCCTCCCTCTCACCCTTTCCTCCCTCTCACCCTTTCCACCCTCTCACCCTTTCCACCCTCTCACCCTTTCCACCCTCTCACCCTTTCCTCCCTCTCACCCTTTCCACCCTCTCACCCTTTCCACCCTCTCACCCTTTCCACCCTCTCACCCTTTCCTCCCTCTTACCCTTTCCACCCTCTCACCCTTTCCACCCTCTCACCCTTTCCACCCTCTCACCCTTTCCTCCCTCTCACCCTTTCCACCCTCTCACCCTTTCCTCCCTCTCACCCTTTCCTCCCTCTCACCCTTTCCACCCTCTCACCCTTTCCTCCCTCTCACCCTTTCCTCCCTCTCACCCTTTCCACCCTCTCACCCTTTCCTCCCTCTCACCCTTTCCTCCCTCTCACCCTTTCCACCCTCTCACCCTTTCCACCCTCTCACCCTTTCCACCCTCTCACCCTTTCCTCCCTCTTACCCTTTCCACCCTCTCACCCTTTCCACCCTCTCACCCTTTCCACCCTCTCACCCTTTCCTCCCTCTCACCCTTTCCACCCTCTCACCCTTTCCTCCCTCTCACCCTTTCCACCCTCTCACCCTTTCCTCCCTCTCTCCCTTTCCTCCCTCTCACCCTTTCCTCCCTCTCACCCTTTCCTCCCTCTCACCCTTTCCTCCATCTCACCATTTCCTCCCTCTCACCCTTTCCTCCCTCTCACCCTTTCCACCCTCTCACCCTTTCCACCCTCTCACCCTTTCCACCCTCTCACCCTTTCCACCCTCTCACCCTTTCCTCCCTCTCACCCTTTCCACCCTCTCACCCTTTCCACCCTCTCACCCTTTCCTCCCTCTCACCCTTTCCTCCCTCTCACCCTTTCCACCCTCTCACCCTTTCCTCCCTCTCACCCTTTCCTCCCTCTCACCCTTTCCACCCTCTCACCCTTTCCTCCCTCTCACCCTTTCCTCCCTCTCACCCTTTCCACCCTCTCACCCTTTCCACCCTCTCACCCTTTCCACCCTCTCACCCTTTCCTCCCTCTTACCCTTTCCACCCTCTCACCCTTTCCACCCTCTCACCCTTTCCACCCTCTCACCCTTTCCTCCCTCTCACCCTTTCCACCCTCTCACCCTTTCCTCCCTCTCACCCTTTCCACCCTCTCACCCTTTCCTCCCTCTCTCCCTTTCCTCCCTCTCACCCTTTCCTCCCTCTCACCCTTTCCTCCCTCTCACCCTTTCCTCCATCTCACCATTTCCTCCCTCTCACCCTTTCCTCCCTCTCACCCTTTCCACCCTCTCACCCTTTCCACCCTCTCACCCTTTCCACCCTCTCACCCTTTCCACCCTCTCACCCTTTCCTCCCTCTTACCCTTTCCACCCTCTCACCTTTTCCACCCTCTCACCCTTTCCACCCTCTCACCCTTTCCTCCCTCTCACCCTTTCCACCCTCTCACCCTTTCCTCCCTCTCACCCTTTCCACCCTCTCACCCTTTCCTCCCTCTCTCCCTTTCCTCCCTCTCACCCTTTCCTCCCTCTCACCCTTTCCTCCCTCTCACCCTTTCCTCCATCTCACCATTTCCTCCCTCTCACCCTTTCCTCCCTCTCACCCTTTCCACCCTCTCACCCTTTCCACCCTCTCACCCTTTCCACCCTCTCACCCTTTCCACCCTCTCACCCTTTCCACCCTCTCACCCTTTCCACCCTCTCACCCTTTCCTCCCTCTCACCCTTTCCTCCCTCTCACCCTTTCCACCCTCTCACCCTTTCCTCCCTCTCACCCTTTCCACCCACTCACCCTTTCCTCCCTCTCACCCTTTCCACCCTCTCACCCTTTCCTCCCTCTCACCCTTTCCACCCTCTCACCCTTTCCTCCCTCTCACCCTTTCCACCCTCTCACCCTTTCCTCCCTCTCACCCTTTCCACCCTCTCACCCTTTCCTCCCTCTCTCCCTTTCCTCCCTCTCACCCTTTCCACCCTCTCACCCTTTCCACCCTCTCACCCTTTCCTCCCTCTCACCCTTTCCTCCCTCTCACCCTTTCCACCCTCTCACCCTTTCCACCCTCTCACCCTTTCCACCCTCTCACCCTTTCCTCCCTCTTACCCTTTCCACCCTCTCACCCTTTCCACCCTCTCACCCTTTCCACCCTCTCACCCTTTCCTCCCTCTCACCCTTTCCACCCTCTCACCCTTTCCTCCCTCTCACCCTTTCCTCCCTCTCACCCTTTCCACCCTCTCACCCTTTCCTCCCTCTCACCCTTTCCTCCCTCTCACCCTTTCCACCCTCTCACCCTTTCCACCCTCTCACCCTTTCCACCCTCTCACCCTTTCCTCCCTCTTACCCTTTCCACCCTCTCACCCTTTCCACCCTCTCACCCTTTCCACCCTCTCACCCTTTCCTCCCTCTCACCCTTTCCACCCTCTCACCCTTTCCTCCCTCTCACCCTATCCTCCCTCTCACCCTTTCCACCCTCTCACCCTTTCCTCCCTCTCACCCTTTCCTCCCTCTCACCCTTTCCACCCTCTCACCCTTTCCTCCCTCTCACCCTTTCCTCCCTCTCACCCTTTCCACCCTCTCACCCTTTCCACCCTCTCACCCTTTCCACCCTCTCACCCTTTCCTCCCTCTTACCCTTTCCACCCTCTCACCCTTTCCACCCTCTCACCCTTTCCACCCTCTCACCCTTTCCTCCCTCTCACCCTTTCCACCCTCTCACCCTTTCCTCCCTCTCACCCTTTCCACCCTCTCACCCTTTCCTCCCTCTCTCCCTTTCCTCCCTCTCACCCTTTCCTCCCTCTCACCCTTTCCACCCTCTCACCCTTTCCTCCCTCTCACCCTTTCCTCCCTCTCACCCTTTCCACCCTCTCACCCTTTCCACCCTCTCACCCTTTCCACCCTCTCACCCTTTCCTCCCTCTTACCCTTTCCACCCTCTCACCCTTTCCACCCTCTCACCCTTTCCACCCTCTCACCCTTTCCTCCCTCTCACCCTTTCCACCCTCTCACCCTTTCCTCCCTCTCACCCTTTCCTCCCTCTCACCCTTTCCACCCTCTCACCCTTTCCATCCTCTCACCCTTTCCTCCCTCTCACCCTTTCCACCCTCTCACCCTTTCCTCCCTCTCACCCTTTCCTCCCTCTCACCCTTTCCACCCTCTCACCCTTTCCTCCCTCTCTCCCTTTCCTCCCTCTCACCCTTTCCACCCTCTCACCCTTTCCACCCTCTCACCCTTTCCTCCCTCTCACCCTTTCCTCCCTCTCACCCTTTCCACCCTCTCACCCTTTCCACCCTCTCACCCTTTCCACCCTCTCACCCTTTCCTCCCTCTTACCCTTTCCACCCTCTCACCCTTTCCACCCTCTCACCCTTTCCACCCTCTCACCCTTTCCTCCCTCTCACCCTTTCCACCCTCTCACCCTTTCCTCCCTCTCACCCTTTCCTCCCTCTCACCCTTTCCACCCTCTCACCCTTTCCTCCCTCTCACCCTTTCCTCCCTCTCACCCTTTCCACCCTCTCACCCTTTCCACCCTCTCACCCTTTCCACCCTCTCACCCTTTCCTCCCTCTTACCCTTTCCACCCTCTCACCCTTTCCACCCTCTCACCCTTTCCACCCTCTCACCCTTTCCTACCCTCTCACCCTTTCCACCCTCTCACCCTTTCCTCCCTCTCACCCTTTCCTCCCTCTCACCCTTTCCACCCTCTCACCCTTTCCTCCCTCTCACCTTTCCTCCCTCTCACCCTTTCCCCCTATCACCTTCTCACCCTTTCCACCCTCTCACCCTTTCCTCCCTCTCACCCTTTCCTCCCTCTCACCCTTTCCACCCTCTCACCCTTTCCACCCTCTCACCCTTTCCACCCTCTCACCCTTTCCTCCCTCTTACCCTTTCCACCCTCTCACCCTTTCCACCCTCTCACCCTTTCCACCCTCTCACCCTTTCCTCCCTCTCACCCTTTCCACCCTCTCACCCTTTCCTCCCTCTCACCCTTTCCACCCTCTCACCCTTTCCTCCCTCTCTCCCTTTCCTCCCTCTCACCCTTTCCTCCCTCTCACCCTTTCCACCCTCTCACCCTTTCCTCCCTCTCACCCTTTCCTCCCTCTCACCCTTTCCACCCTCTCACCCTTTCCACCCTCTCACCCTTTCCACCCTCTCACCCTTTCCTCCCTCTTACCCTTTCCACCCTCTCACCCTTTCCACCCTCTCACCCTTTCCACCCTCTCACCCTTTCCTCCCTCTCACCCTTTCCACCTCTCCCCTTCACACCCTCTCACCCTTTCACCCTTCCCTCCCTCTCACCCTTTCCTCCCTCTCACCCTTTCCACCCTCTCACCCTTTCCACCCTCTCACCCTTTCCTCCCTCTCACCCTTTCCACCCTCTCACCCTTTCCTCCCTCTCACCCTTTCCTCCCTCTCACCCTTTCCACCCTCTCACCCTTTCCTCCCTCTCACCCTTTCCTCCCTCTCACCCTTTCCACCCTCTCACCCTTTCCACCCTCTCACCCTTTCCACCCTCTCACCCTTTCCTCCCTCTTACCCTTTCCACCCTCTCACCCTTTCCACCCTCTCACCCTTTCCACCCTCTCACCCTTTCCTCCCTCTCACCCTTTCCACCCTCTCACCCTTTCCTCCCTCTCACCCTTTCCTCCCTCTCACCCTTTCCACCCTCTCACCCTTTCCTCCCTCTCACCCTTTCCTCCCTCTCACCCTTTCCACCCTCTCACCCTTTCCTCCCTCTCACCCTTTCCTCCCTCTCACCCTTTCCACCCTCTCACCCTTTCCACCCTCTCACCCTTTCCACCCTCTCACCCTTTCCTCCCTCTTACCCTTTCCACCCTCTCACCCTTTCCACCCTCTCACCCTTTCCACCCTCTCACCCTTTCCTCCCTCTCACCCTTTCCACCCTCTCACCCTTTCCTCCCTCTCACCCTTTCCACCCTCTCACCCTTTCCTCCCTCTCTCCCTTTCCTCCCTCTCACCCTTTCCTCCCTCTCACCCTTTCCTCCCTCTCACCCTTTCCTCCATCTCACCATTTCCTCCCTCTCACCCTTTCCTCCCTCTCACCCTTTCCACCCTCTCACCCTTTCCTCCCTCTCACCCTTTCCACCCTCTCACCCTTTCCACCCTCTCACCCTTTCCTCCCTCTCACCCTTTCCACCCTCTCACCCTTTCCACCCTCTCACCCTTTCCTCCCTCTCCTTCCTCCCTCTCACCCTTTCCTCCCTCTCACCCTTTCCTCCCTCTCACCCTTTCCTCCCTCTCACCCTTTCCTCCCTCTCACCCATTCCACCCTCTAACCCTTTCCTCCCTCTCACCCTTTCCACCCTCTCACCCTTTCCACCCTCTCACCCTTTCCTCCCTCTCACCCTTTCCACCCTCTCACCCTTTCCACCCTCTCACCCTTTCCTCCCTTTCACCCTTTCCACCCTCTCACCCTTTCCACCCTCTCACCCTTTCCTCCCTCTCACCCTTTCCTCCCTCTCACCCTTTCCACCCTCTCACCCTTTCCACCCTCTCACCCTTTCCACCCTCTCACCGTTTCCTCCCTCTTACCCTTTCCACCCTCTCACCCTTTCCACCCTCTCACCCTTTCCAACCTCTCACCCTTTCCTCCCTCTCACCCTTTCCACCCTCTCACCCTTTCCTCCCTCTCTCCCTTTCCTCCCTCTCACCCTTTCCTCCCTCTCACCCTTTCCACCCTCTCACCCTTTCCTCCCTCTCACCCTTTCCTCCCTCTCACCCTTTCCACCCTCTCACCCTTTCCTCCCTCTCACCCTTTCCTCCCTCTCACCCTTTCCACCCTCTCACCCTTTCCTCCCTCTCACCCTTTCCTCCCTCTCACCCTTTCCACCCTCTCACCCTTTCCACCCTCTCACCCTTTCCACCCTCTCACCCTTTCCTCCCTCTTACCCTTTCCACCCTCTCACCCTTTCCACCCTCTCACCCTTTCCACCCTCTCACCCTTTCCTCCCTCTCACCCTTTCCACCCTCTCACCCTTTCCTCCCTCTCACCCTTTCCACCCTCTCACCCTTTCCTCCCTCTCTCCCTTTCCTCCCTCTCACCCTTTCCTCCCTCTCACCCTTTCCACCCTCTCACCCTTTCCTCCCTCTCACCCTTTCCTCCCTCTCACCCTTTCCACCCTCTCACCCTTTCCACCCTCTCACCCTTTCCACCCTCTCACCCTTTCCTCCCTCTTACCCTTTCCACCCTCTCACCCTTTCCACCCTCTCACCCTTTCCACCCTCTCACCCTTTCCTCCCTCTCACCCTTTCCACCCTCTCACCCTTTCCTCCCTCTCACCCTTTCCTCCCTCTCACCCTTTCCACCCTCTCACCCTTTCCACCCTCTCACCCTTTCCTCCCTCTCACCCTTTCCACCCTCTCACCCTTTCCTCCCTCTCACCCTTTCCTCCCTCTCACCCTTTCCACCCTCTCACCCTTTCCTCCCTCTCACCCTTTCCTCCCTCTCACCCTTTCCACCCTCTCACCCTTTCCACCCTCTCACCCTTTCCACCCTCTCACCCTTTCCTCCCTCTTACCCTTTCCACCCTCTCACCCTTTCCACCCTCTCACCCTTTCCACCCTCTCACCCTTTCCTCCCTCTCACCCTTTCCACCCTCTCACCCTTTCCTCCCTCTCACCCTTTCCTCCCTCTCACCCTTTCCACCCTCTCACCCTTTCCTCCCTTTCACCCTTTCCTCCCTCTCACCCTTTCCACCCTCTCACCCTTTCCTCCCTCTCACCCTTTCCTCCCTCTCACCCTTTCCACCCTCTCACCCTTTCCACCCTCTCACCCTTTCCACCCTCTCACCCTTTCCTCCCTCTTACCCTTTCCACCCTCTCACCCTTTCCACCCTCTCACCCTTTCCACCCTCTCACCCTTTCCTCCCTCTCACCCTTTCCACCCTCTCACCCTTTCCACCCTCTCACCCTTTCCACCCTCTCACCCTTTCCTCCCTCTCTCCCTTTCCTCCCTCTCACCCTTTCCTCCCTCTCACCCTTTCCTCCCTCTCACCCTTTCCTCCATCTCACCATTTCCTCCCTCTCACCCTTTCCTCCCTCTCACCCTTTCCACCCTCTCACCCTTTCCTCCCTCTCACCCTTTCCACCCTCTCACCCTTTCCACCCTCTCACCCTTTCCTCCCTCTCACCCTTTCCACCCTCTCACCCTTTCCACCCTCTCACCCTTCCTCCTCTCTCCCTTTCCTCCCTCTCACCCTTTCCTCCCTCTCACCCTTTCCTCCCTCTCACCCTTTCCTCCCTCTCACCCTTTCCTCCCTCTCACCCATTCCACCCTCTAACCCTTTCCTCCCTCTCACCCTTTCCACCCTCTCACCCTTTCCACCCTCTCACCCTTTCCTCCCTCTCACCCTTTCCACCCTCTCACCCTTTCCACCCTCTCACCCTTTCCTCCCTTTCACCCTTTCCACCCTCTCACCCTTTCCACCCTCTCACCCTTTCCTCCCTCTCACCCTTTCCTCCCTCTCACCCTTTCCACCCTCTCACCCTTTCCACCCTCTCACCCTTTCCACCCTCTCACCGTTTCCTCCCTCTTACCCTTTCCACCCTCTCACCCTTTCCACCCTCTCACCCTTTCCAACCTCTCACCCTTTCCTCCCTCTCACCCTTTCCACCCTCTCACCCTTTCCTCCTCTCTCCCTTCCTCCTCTCACCCTTTCCTTTCCTCCCTCTCACCCTTTCCTCCCTCTCACCCTTTCTCCCTTCCCCTCTCACCTTTCCTCCCTCTCACCCTTTCCACCCTCTCACCCTTTCCTCCCTCTCACCCTTTCCACCCTCTCACCCTTTCCACCCTCTCACCCTTTCCTCCCTCTCACCCTTTCCACCCTCTCACCCTTTCCACCCTCTCACCCTTTCCTCCCTCTCACCCTTTTCCACCCTCTCACCCTTTCCACCCTCTCACCCTTTCCTCCCTCTCACCCTTTCCACCCTCTCACCCTTTCCACCCTCTCACCCTTTCCTCCCTCTTACCCTTTCCACCCTCTCACCCTTTCCACCCTCTCACCCCTTTCCACCTCTCACCCTTTCCTCCCTCTCACCCTTTCCACCCTCTCACCCTTTCCTCCTCTCTCCCCTTTCCTCCCTCTCACCCTTTCCTCCCTCTCACCCTTTCCTCCCTCTCACCCTTTCCCCCTCTCACCCTTTCCTCCCTCTCACCCTTTCCACCCTCTCACCCTTTCCACCCTCTCACCCTTTCCTCCCTCTCACCCTTTCCACCCTCTCACCCTTTCCACCCTCTCACCCTTTCCTCCCTCTCACCCTTTCCACCCTCTCACCCTTTCCACCCTCTCACCCTTTCCTCCCTCTCACCCTTTCCTCCCTCTCACCCTTTCCACCCTCTCACCCTTTCCACCCTCTCACCCTTTCCACCCTCTCACCCTTTCCTCCCTCTCACCCTTTCCACCCTCTCACCCTTTCCTCCCTCTCTCCCTTTCCTCCCTCTCACCCTTTCCTCCCTCTCACCCTTTCCTCCCTCTCACCCTTTCCTCCCTCTCACCCTTTCCTCCCTCTCACCCTTTCCTCCCTCTCACCCTTTCCACCCTCTCACCCTTTCCTCCCTCTCACCCTTTTCTCCCTCTCACCCTTTCCTCCCTCTCACCCTTTCCTCCCTCTCACCCTTTCCTCCCTCTCACCCTTTCCACCCTCTAACCCTTTCCTCCCTCTCACCCTTTCCACCCTCTCACCCTTTCCACCCTCTCACCCTTTCCTCCCTCTCACCCTTTCCACCCTCTCACGCTTTCCACCCTCTCACCCTTTCCTCCCTCTCACCCTTTCCACCCTCTCACCCTTTCCACCCTCTCACCCTTTCCTCCCTCTCACCCTTTCCTCCCTCTCACCCTTTCCACCCTCTCACCCTTTCCACCCTCCCACCCTTTCCACCCTCTCACCCTTTCCTCCCTTTTACCCTTTCCACCCTTTTCCACCCTCTCACCCTTTCCACCCTCTCACCCTTTCCACCCTCTCACCCTTTCCTCCCTCTCACCCTTTCCACCCTCTCACCCTTTCCACCCTCTCACCCTTTCCTCCCTCTCACCCTTTCCACCCTCTCACCCTTTCCACCCTCTCACCCTTTCCTCCCTCTCACCCTTTCCTCCCTCTCACCCTTTCCACCCTCTCACCCTTTCCACCCTCTCACCCTTTCCACCCTCTCACCCTTTCCTCCCTCTCACCCTTTCCACCCTCTCACCCTTTCCTCCCTCTCTCCCTTTCCTCCCTCTCACCCTTTCCTCCCTCTCACCCTTTCCTCCCTCTCACCCTTTCCTCCCTCTCACCCTTTCCTCCCTCTCACCCTTTCCTCCCTCTCACCCTTTCCACCCTCTCACCCTTTCCTCCCTCTCACCCTTTTCTCCCTCTCACCCTTTCCTCCCTCTCACCCTTTCCTCCCTCTCACCCTTTCCTCCCTCTCACCCTTTCCACCCTCTAACCCTTTCCTCCCTCTCACCCTTTCCACCCTCTCACCCTTTCCACCCTCTCACCCTTTCCTCCCTCTCACCCTTTCCACCCTCTCACGCTTTCCACCCTCTCACCCTTTCCTCCCTCTCACCCTTTCCACCCTCTCACCCTTTCCACCCTCTCACCCTTTCCTCCCTCTCACCCTTTCCTCCCTCTCACCCTTTCCACCCTCTCACCCTTTCCTCCCTCTCACCCTTTCCTCCCTCTCACCCTTTCCACCCTCTCACCCTTTCCACCCTCTCACCCTTTCCACCCTCTCACCCTTTCCTCCCTCTTACCCTTTCCACCCTCTCACCCTTTCCACCCTCTCACCCTTTCCACCCTCTCACCCTTTCCTCCCTCTCACCCTTTCCACCCTCTCACCCTTTCCTCCCTCTCACCCTTTCCTCCCTCTCACCCTTTCCACCCTCTCACCCCCCCCTCCCCAGCCCAACCTTATGCCACAGGGCGCCTACATTCCGCTTGGACCTGCTGCAGGCTCGGGCCACCATGCAGGCAGGCTGCATCAGTCATCATAAGGTTGTTGAGCCCTTTTCCCCCAACACCTCCGCCCCCCGTCACCCCACACCCCCATCCTCCCCACCTTATGCCACAGAGCGACTATATTCCGCTTGGACCTACTGCAGGTTCGGGCCACCGTGCAGGCTTCGGGCATCCTCAGCCTCGGCCCGAACCTGGTGCTCGTGGCCAGCAGGCTCGGCGACAGCATGCTCATTCGCTACCGAGCCAACGAGCACGGACTGGTAAGTCACGATGTAAGCAAGGATTTCGTAGTTGATTTCCAATCTCTCTCACACACAGTGTTGCATCTTTTGAGTTGACTCAAAAGCAGATTTCCAATCTCTCTCACACACAGTGTTGCATCTTTTGAGTCGACTCAAAAGCAGATTTCCAATCTCTCTCACACACAGTGTTGCATCTTTTGAGTCGACTCAAAAGCAGATTTCCAATCTCTCTCACACACAGTGTTGCATCTTTTGAGTCGACTCAAAAGCAGATTTCCAATCTCTCTCACACACAGTGTTGCATCTTTTGAGTCGACTCAAAAGCAGATTTCCAATCTCTCTCACACACAGTGTTGCATCTTTTGAGTCGACTCAAAAGCAGATTTCCAATCTCTCTCACACACAGTGTTGCATCTTTTGAGTCGACTCAAAAGCAGATTTCCAATCTCTCTCACACACAGTGTTGCATCTTTTGAGTCGACTCAAAAGCAGATTTCCAATCTCTCTCACACACAGTGTTGCATCTTTTGAGTCGACTCAAAAGCAGATTTCCAATCTCTGTCACACACAGTGTTGCATCTTTTGAGTCGACTCAAAAGCAGATTTCCAATCTCTCTCACACACAGTGTTGCATCTTTTGAGTTGACTCAAAAGCAGATTTCCAATCTCTCTCACACACAGTGTTGCATCTTTTGAGTCGACTCAAAAGCAGATTTCCAATCTCTCTCACACACAGTGTTGCATCTTTTGAGTCGACTCAAAAGCAGATTTCCAATCTCTCTCACACACAGTGTTGCATCTTTTGAGTCGACTCAAAAGCAGATTTCCAATCTCTCTCACACACAGTGTTGCATCTTTTGAGTCGACTCAAAAGCAGATTTCCAATCTCTCTCACACACAGTGTTGCATCTTTTGAGTCGACTCAAAAGCAGATTTCCAATCTCTCTCACACACAGTGTTGCATCTTTTGAGTCGACTCAAAAGCAGATTTCCAATCTCTCTCACACACAGTGTTGCATCTTTCAGACGAGAGATTCCCCTGGCTTTTCTCCTGACCTGTCCTTCTTCCACTTATTTGCACCTGATTCAATTCACACCACAAACTCCCCACAAACTCGATATCTTTCCCCTCTGCCTCCACCGTTCGCATCTCCCTTCGTCTCCCCCTTTCATCCCCTCTTTTCCCCTTGCTCTTCGCCTCCACTCCGCCTCCCCCCTCCTTCCCCACTTTCCATCCCTCCTATCTGTGCCCACGCGTGTTTATTCCAGGAGAAGCAGCGAGGCGAGGGGCCAAGCGCTTGAAAGCAGACGAAACCTCTGATGGCGAAGGCACTGCTGCAGCTGTTCCTGCAGCTCCTGCTGATGCAGCTGCTGGTGCGGAGGAGGAGCAGGGGCAGGAGGGCTTCTCCTTCCGTGTGTGCGACTCGCTGCTCAACATTGGCCCCATCCGAGACCTCGTGCCCGTCCCAGCATTCCCCACACTCAATCTCTCCCTTTCCTTTTCCTCCCATTTGTGTCCATGCTTGATTATCCCAGGAGAAGCAGCGAGGGGCGAAGCGCTTAAAAGCAGACGAAGCTTCTGATGGCGAAGCGGGTGCTGCAGCCGACGTCGCTGGTGGTGCGGAGGAGGAGGAGGAGCAGGGGCAGGAGGGCTTCTCCTTCCGTGTGTGCGACTCGCTGCTCAACATCGGCCCCATCCGAGACCTCGTGCCCGTCCCAGCATTCCCCACGCCCACTTCCCAGCATCAACAGCAGCAGCAACAGGAAGTGGGAAAGCTGCAGATGCTAGTGGCGTGCAGTGGGCATGGGAAGAACGGTGCGCTGTCGGTGCTGCTGCAGCGAGTGCCACTGGACGTGCTCACACAGGTACGCCCAGCCCACTCCCCAGAAGGAACAGCAACAGCAGCAGCAGCATCAGATGCTGGTGGCGTGCAGTGGGCATGGGAAGAATGGCGCTCTGTCGGTGCTGCTGCAGCGAGTGCCACTGGACGTGCTAACACAGGTACTGCGTGGTGCTGGGGGTGAGCTTTTAAAGAGCGATCTCAATATGGCGCTCTGTTGGTGCTGCTGCAGCGATTACCACTGGATGTGCTCACAGGTTCTGCCACTCCACGAAGCTTGGCAGGAGCGTCCTCTCACAGTGATTAAAACATTAAACGTTATAGATATATATACATATATATATATATATCAAATATATATATATCAAATATATATATTTATCGGTGGGTACCTTCCTCTCGTGGCCATACCAACCAGCATGATTGGTGATGGCTGCTCTAACCTTTCTGAAGCTTTCTCTTAACTCTATTTCTAAAGCGATTGTTTAGAGTTGTTAAAAATTGCTCACCTTTTTTTTTTTTTTCAAAAGTGCCTAGTGCCTGTGCCCATTACAACTCGTGCCTTCCATTCCTCCCTTCCTCCCTTCACCATCACAGGAGGATCTTCCTGGCTGCTGCGGCCTGTGGACTGTCTATGGCTCTGCTCTGCCTTCTGAAGCCAGGGAGGGAGGAGAAGATGGGCAGGCAGCAGCAGGCGGGGCAGGAGGGACAGCCGTAGAGGGGGAGGGAGCAGGAAAGGGAGGTATAGGAGGGGTTGAGGGCGGTGAGCAGGGGTGTAGAGCAGGTGCTATGGAGGTGGAGGGAGGGAGTGGGGTGGGGGGTGGAGAAGGTGGGAAGGGAGATAGAGGCAGCAGTTACCATGGGTTCCTTGTGCTGGCGTTTGAAGGGCAAAGCATGGTGAGAAGGGAAGGGAGATGATGATAGGTATGTAGCATTTAGATGATGCATCAGTTTGCTGCATGTATCTACCACTCTTTCACGCTCTTTGCTGTCACTGGTATCAGCGGAAGGCAGTTTCATCACACACACGCCCACCCACCGTCATAGCCACCAATCTCTTCTCTCTCCTGGTCCCTCCTGCCCCTTCCCCCCTTTCCTGCTTCCCCCCCTCAGGTGCTAGAAACAGTGAGCTGCTTCGGGAGGTATCAGCAGAAGTCGGTCCCCCCCTCCTGGCTGCCAATTTCTTCCCCCTCCCGGCCCCTTTCGTGCCCCATCCCTCCCTCCCTCCCTCCCTCCTGCCTCTCTCCTTCCCTCAGGTCCTAGAAACAGGTGAGTTGCTTCGGGAGGTCGCAGCAAAGGGCAGCTTTATCACCGATGCCCCCACCCTCCTGGCCGGCAATCTCTTCTCGCGCCCCTCTCTTTCCTGCCCCTCCTGCCCCTTTCCCCCTCTCATGTACTTCTCTCCCTCAGGTGCTGGAGACAGGTGAGTTGCTTCGGGAGGTCTCAGCGGAAGTCAGCTTTATCACCGATGCCCCCACCCTCCTGGCCGCCAATCTCTTCTCTCGCTGCTGCATCCTCCAAGTCACTCCCTCTGCCGTCCGATTGCTCGCCAGCTCAGCCAGCCTGCTGCAGGAGATGCTGCCACGTGGCATGGTGGTTGGGAGAGGGCAGGAGGGTTGGGAGGGGATGGAGGAGGGGAAGGAGGGGGAAGAGGACGTAGAGATTGAGTCTGCTGACGTGGCGGATCCATATGTCATGCTGCGATTGGTGGATGGCCGATTCATTCTACTTGGACCAGGTAATGCTCTTGATCATTGCAAAGAACGGTGGTGCCATTCTTTGCAAAGGATGATTGGTACAACTATCTATGCTAAAAATGGTTTTTAAATAGCCATTTTTTGTGCGTGCCTGATGGTAAACAAGCAAGTAACAAACTTTTTTTTTTTTTTTTTTTCTCCCAACATCCCACCCACCTGCAGATCCGTCCAAACCTCTCTCTCTGGTGCCCATTCCATGCCACCTCCCCTCTCCTTCCTCTGACCCTATCACGGCCTACTCTCTCCTCCTCTCCCCCTCGCCAGCCATATCCAATTCCCATAGCTCCACAACCACCACCAGCGGCACCAGCACCAGCAGTGCATTGGCTTGTGCCCTTGGCAGTAGTGGTGGCAGCAGCGGTGGTAACAGCAGTGGCAAAGGAACTCCCTCCCCTACTGCTGCTCCTCCTTCTCCTCCTGTTCCCCTCTGTGCTGTGGCTCGTAGATCCGGCCTGCTCCAGTTGTACCTTCTCCCCTCTCTCCGCTGCGTGTTCTCCTCCCTGGGCCTTGCGGATAGTCACACTCTCTTGAAGCACACTCCTGCTGCAGCCGCTGCTGCTGCGGCTGTTGTTGCTGCTGCTACAGATGCAGCAGAGGCAGGCAGAGGAGGAAAGGATTCTCTACCTGTAGGCGGAGAAGCCAAAGATGCAGGTACAGCTGCCGCTACGGCTGCCCCTGCAGCCGCCGTTACAGCCACTGCCACAGCAGGGAGTGAAGCAATGGAGCTGGATATTAATCCTGGGAACGCTGAGAAGAAGGCAGTGGGGAAGCAGGGGTCGGGGAAAGTGGGGGTGGGAGGAGATGAGGAGATGGTGGTAAAGGAGGAGAGGAGGGATGGGGAGGGGAAGGAGGAGGGAAAGAAGGAGGCGAAAGAGGGTGATGTTGAGATGGATGGTGGCAGTGGTGCTGGCAATGGTGTGGGTAAGGGCACAGATGTCAAAGCAGAGGAGAATGGAGTGAAAACAGAGGTGAAAGAAACAGAGGGGTCACAGAAAAGAGAGAATGATGGAGCAGTAGCAGCAGTGACAGCACACACGCCTGCACCAGTTGCCACCTCAGCACACATGTCAGCGCCTGATTGGCCGAAGCAGTTTGTCGTGGATCTGCACGTGTCTGTCAACCCTGTCACCGGGCGGCTGTTTTTGTTTGTTGTACTTTCAGACGGGCGGCTGCTGGGCTTCAGAGCGTTCTGCCCCTCGGGAGCTTCCCCTGGAGATGTGATTGCAGCGAGTGTGACAGTAACAGGGGAGCGTGGTGTGAAGGTGGGAGGGCGAGCAGGGGGAGGAGGAGGACATGGGGTGGGGGAGGGGGAACCTGGAGGAAGGGCAGGTAGCATTGGGGTAGGTGGATTTGGGGTAGGTGGGTTGCGGTTCAAGAGGGTTTGTTTAGAGGAGGAAGAGGCAGGGATTCATGAGGTGGAGGGGGAGGAGGAAGGGGAGGAGGAGGGAAAAGGGGAGGGGGCGGTGGGGAGAGGGGCAGGTCCTAGTGGGGGAGCAGGGGGAGAGGGCAGGATGAAGCAGGAGGGAGGGGGCGAGAAAGGGGGAGGTGAGAGTGGGGGAGGTGAAAGTGGGGGAGGTGATCCTGCAGCAGAAGAGAAGGCGCAGGGAGAGGAGGGTGCGGAGAGGAGCAGGAGGGCTGGGAGGGCGAGAAAGAAAATGCTGTTTCCGTATCAAGGGGTGGGGCTGGAGGGGAGTGGAGGAGGGGGTGGAGGAGGGGGGTTTGGTGGGAGGGGTAAGGGGGGTGTTGGTGACAGTGGTGGCATTGGCGGTGTGTTTGTGGCTGGGAGTAGGCCCAGATGGCTGATGCTGCTGCGAGATAGAGTGTGGGTGCACCCTGTGGTGAGTCTGAGTCGTGCATGCTGTGCTGTGTCACGTGTGCCATGCTGAGTCTTGTGTGCCATGCTGAGTCACGCGTGCCATGCATGCTATGCTTTGGCTTTCATGCCTTTGAGCATGCTGCCGAGGGAAAAACACACACGAGATCACACAGAACAAGCAAACAGTGAAAGATTCCCGAAATTCGTCCCTTCCCAACACCTCTAGATCATCCCACACATCCCACAGAGTCTATTTTTGAGGCGCCTAAAGAACACACATACCACATATGCCCGCCTGCCCAAACACAGGCCGCAGAGGCAGCATCGAGCGTGGTGGCAATGGCGCCCTTCCACAACGTCAACTGCACGCATGGCTTCCTCCTCATCTCCTCTCTAGGCGTGCTCTCCATCTGCCAGTTGCCCCCTCTCTTCCAGTTCGACAACGCATGGCCCCTCAACAAGGTGTGTGTATGCCTGGATTGGGTACTCGGGAAGGGTTAGAGCCCAATAGGTTTTTTTTGCACCACTCGCTCACCTGCCCTACATTCTTCTCTCCCCATTGGTATTGTTTTTTTCTTTTATTTTCTTTTCTTTTCTTTTGATTTGCACACTCTAATGCCTATGCTCGCCGTTCCCCCCTTCTACCTCCACTCTCCCCACTCTTCCCCACTGTGCCTCGTTCTCCCCCCCTTCACAGATTCCCTTGCGCTCAACCCCCCACTCGGTCACTCTCTCCCCGGACGCAGCTCATCTTTTCCTCGTCACTTCAACCCCCGTAGGCTTATATCCCCAGCCCCGTACACATACGATAGTTGCAACCGTTTTCTTTCTACGTTCAAATGCTCCACTCTCCCCGCCTATCCCCCTCCTTCTCCCTTCCCACCTCTCACTCGCCTTCGCCTGTCAAGTATTTTGACCCGTCCCCTAATTTCTCGTTCCCTCTCTCATTCTTCTTCCCCATCTTCTCCCATTCTTCTCCTCACTTCCACCCACTCTTCGTTTCACTCTTCCTCTCACTCTCCCCCTTTCAGGTGTCTCGGCCAGTGTCTCAGTTCCTGGTTCCTTCCCTAGAAGACCCAAAAGATCCAACAACCGCAGCACTAGGCTTGGCCGGACCTGGAGGTCCGGGAGCTCCAGGATCCTCCGGCACAGACGCCGAAGCAGTAGCTATGGTTGAGGACTTCCAGCTTCGGGTGGTAACCTGCCCGAGCCTAGAGGCCCCGAGCCGCGCCCTGGAGGTTCGGCAGAGATTTGAGTTCCAGCCGTTTGAAGCGGTGACAATGGTGAAGTCAGTGGTGCTGAGGAATCGCAGCAGTGGGCAGTTACAGACGCTCCTGGCTGTATGTACGACGTTTATCACAGGGGAGGACGCACCTGGGAAAGGCAGGATCCTGCTCTTCGAGTACAACCCACTGGCAACAGCTGATGGGGATGGTCCTGCTGCTGCTGGCACTGGTGTAGCCGCAACGGCAGATGCAGAGGGTAAAGCGGCAGGTGGAAGCAATGGAATTCCCTTGGTGAGCCTGCCTTTCCGCTGCTTCCCTTGATTGTCCGTCTGTCGCCTTTCATCCCTTGTGCAGCGTGTGTTTTCCTAGAGGGGCAGCATGGCATGGCAGAATGTTCGGACAGAGCTGAGACGCCCTCCTCCTTTCTCTTCCCTTCCTTGTCTCCATATCAAACATAATCCCACCAGCTGAGGGAGCTCTATTCAAAGGAGCCCATAGCGGGTAGCAGTCAAAGAGGCAGCGTGGCAGCACTCACGGCGCTGCAGGGCAATCTGCTGCTGGCAGTCGGGCGACAGCTGGTGCTGTATGCATGGAACGGAGTGGAATTAGAAGGAATCGCCTTCCTTGATGCTCCTCTCTACGTGGTTTCCATGGCAACGGTGAGTGGTTGGGCTTGATTAAGAGCTGCAGTTCCACTTAGGATCTCTCTTATCTGCTGCAGGCAGTGGGGCGGCAGCTGGTGCTGTATATGTGGAATGGGATAGACAGCTATGGATTCTTCTAGGGGATGTGTTAAAGAGCATGTAGTTCCTGTGCTGGAGAGAGTAGGGAGCTCAGCTCACCCTTTCCGATTGAGATGTTCTGCGTTTCTTTCCAATTGTTGTCTTTCAGGTGAAGAGCTTTGTGATTGTAGGTGATGTGCTAAAGAGCGTCTACTTCCTGCACTGGAGAGAGGAGGGCGCTCAGCTCACCCTCCTCGCGCGCGACTTTTCCTCTCTGCCGATCACAGCCGTCGATTTCCTCATCGACGGCTCAGCTCTCGGGCTGCTGGCCACCGACACGGCCAAGAACCTCCAAGTCTTTGCCTACTCCAAGTCCATTGAGACACACATGGGTCAGAAGCTGCTGCTTAAAGCATCTTTCCACACAGGAGAGGTGCTCTCGAAGGTTCTCCGGCTGCCGCTGCCCCCTCCTCTTGCCACAGCAGCAGGAGGAGGAAGAGGAGGAGCGGGAGGAGGAGGAGCAGCAGCTTCGGGCCGAACCAACAGGTTCGGCGTGCTTGCAGGGACGCTCGGCGGGGCGATTGTGGTGGTGACGCCAGTTCCAGAGCTGGTGTTTCGGAGGCTGGATACAGTGCAGCGTTACATGGTAACCGCAGTGGAGCAGACAGCAGGGTTACACCCGCTGGCGTTCCGGGCGGTGCAAGGGCTGGGGAAGGGGCAGCAGCATTCCGGAGTGGAGCGAATGATTGACTCTCAGCTTCTTGCTCAGTGAGTTGACCTTTCCCATGCCGCCATGCATCCGCACACCCTTCGACCCTTGTTTCCCATGCCGGCCCCCATTTAGCATGCTCCCACCAGGTACGCATGGAGACAGTCAGCACTACTCACATCAGTACCAACCTCAGAACTCCCCATGCTCCCATCCACCCATCAACCCTTTACCCATGTGTCCCATGCGTCCTATGCACCCACCAGGTATGCACTGATGGAGGACAGTCAGCAGCAGCAGCTAGCAGAGGACGTCGGTTCCACTCGTCCCATGGTGCTGCAGAACCTGCGGGACCTTGCCCACAATGCCATGCTCTTCTAGCCAGAGCCCTGTTACTGTTCTCTTCAACCACAATCTCCTGACTGTGTCGGGAAAGGGCCAACTGCTTTACCTAAGGCATAAGGGCGTGTTCCTACGGCCCCTTATCAGGGCAACCCCTTATCAAGCTCGCTACTTTTCCCCCTGAAAGTTCCCTAAACCCGAAAACCCTCGCTACTTTTACCAGGCAAGGCTGACAAGAGGTTTGCCTGATAAGAGCGTAGGAACACGCCCTAAGGCACCAAGGAGCAGAGCAGCACCTAGCACAAGGCATGGGCTCCAGATGAGTCATGTCATGCCCACGAGTCAAATGGTGCTGCAGAACCCCCGGCCGGGCCGGAGCCTCAAGCACAGCGCCTTGATCCTGCGGCGAATGTCAACCGTGCGCCGTGGGGAACCCGTTTCAAACCGTTTCCCTTACTGATGCATCGGCTTGCGACAGTCCTGATGCTCCAACCGTTTCCGACCGACACACCTTGGCCCTTCATCTTCATCTTCATCTTCATCTTCATCTTCGGTACTAGCGAATCTAGCAAATTTGACGAATCGGAACAGTTCTATAACCAAAAAGGCTGAAAGGGCCAGGATGCGGAAATGAGGCAACCTAAGAACTCTAAAAGCGATTTGGGCATACCATGTAGGGTAGAATACCGGTATCGTTTCTAGAACCTTGTTGTGTGCGCTTGATTGACCTGTGACCAGGGCTGGCCATTCACATTAGGCCTCCCTGAATCCGGGAAAAAAATTCACCTTGTATTATGGGTGCCAATTTTTCAAAAGTTTGCCAGTCTGATTGCTCAGTGTCCAATGTCATCTCACTCTTATTCGTCAGAGTACAGCAATAAATCAGCGTTGCAGTCAATCACTAACACACAAATTTCCCCCACGCGGCACCGCATAGTCGCATTGGTACAACAAAGCTGTACACCTAGTCCGCGCCTCAGTTTACCCTTAAAGCCCCTGTTGACCTTATCTGACTAGAGGGATCAGACACCCCGGAATTGGAGGCTATTCGTGGCATTGTGGAGTGTCGATGTTGTAGAACTCTTACTCTGGGAGACTGCAGCGCAAAGACTGGATCTTCCGCTACGACCATGTTTTTTGTTTTCGTAACTGCGACCCAATCGTACCCTCTTTAAAGCCGGCAGCTCAAATTGTTCATGCTTTTAAAAGTTGACCAGAGAGAGTTTTTCTGAGTTTCCGATTTCGTCTAGGTTCGTTTTTTTCGCAAGACCCAGCCAACCCTCGTTTCCCCCCGTGGTGAGTAATCTGTCTTCGAAAGTCCCTAACAGGCCCTCAGAAGTCAGAGAAATTTGTCTGATTTGCTTGGAAAAGTCTGAGATTTCAGATATTTTTTTGGGTGTACTCAGTAAAATTCAGAGTTTTTATAGCCTTAACTCTGTAAAAATCAGATTTACTTTATATGCTGACTCTGAGATTTCAGAGTTTCCCGGGAGTGTACTCTGAGGAATTCAGAGTACAAACGAGTACCGACTCTGATTGAATGTACCTGTGCGCCGACACCCAGGATTAGCGGTGGTACATTGTACCTGTACCGTCAATCACACGAAATCTGTGCCAACTGAGAAGTTCTGTGGGCGACGCCGCCCTGCGGCGCGATGTTTCCCTCGTACAGCTGCCAGTTTTCCCCCGCCCTGCAGCGCGAAGTTTCCCGCGGTGTAAGTTCCAGCTCACTCTGTTAGAGCACTGATTGGTCCGTTGGCAGCTCTTGACTGCCAACGGACTCCACCACCACCACCAGGGTCCAACATGCTGCAGTAGTTGCCACCCACGTAAAGGTGTTGGCAAGCATACGTTGCCAACAAGACCCGTTGATTGGTCCCTTTGGCAGCATCTTGTACCAACACGATGTAATCCTCACAGCAGTGCACGGCAGATGCGCCTCGTCGTTGCCGTGCATGCTAGGCAACCACCCATCAGAGGCATGGATGGCCCACAGTCAGTTATAGGGCCATCCTCTACAACCTAGGGTTTCATCCCCATTCCTCAGCTCAGCTTCATCTCTCTGGGCCCATACACTACCCAGTTTAGTAGCCTCAGAACCTCTCGTTCCTGCTCGGCAGGCTCTCTCAGACACGCGCCATGGCTCTGCCCGACAATCCCGCAACCGCAGATGATGACGACCCTGATTCTCGTCCTGCGTTAACAGGCCTAGATTTGTTGCTCAGTCACCTAGCTCTCGAGAAGGCAGCACACGCGGAGCCCGATTCTATCCCCACCTCGAAGGAACCTCCAGCTCCCGTGCTCTCAAATCCCGACCCTGTGGCAGAGATACGTGTGGAACCACCTGTCATTTCGGCATCGCACCATCCCACTCAGACCACGGAGCGAACCGTCCGGCTCGTCAAGCAGGCGACCTTGAGCTTCGCCAAGCCTTCTTCCTCGACCGCCAACGTCAACAATTCTCCCGGCTCGTCCGAGCGTGCGCGTCCTCGCCTCACCATAAACCTGACCGAGCTCATTGAAGGGCTATACGATGATGCCATTTACAAGTTCAAGAGTCAGTGGCAAGCACGGTTTCGCTGGCTGCAAATCACCAAAACCACATCCGGCTTGCCTGCCTTCAAGTATATTGTTTGTGCAGCTTATGCTTGCGACGGAGGCAAGTGCGGGAGACGCGGGAAAGGCGCCACGGACTTGCACACCCAGTCGTTTCGTAAGCACGTGGGCACGGCGAAGCACAAGCTGGCGATGGAGAGACAAACAGCTGTGCAGGAGTGCGGAGAGAGGCAGCCGCAGATCGACCACCACCGCGCCACCATGGACGGAGAGCAGTCGCGCGTCGTCGCCCTTCTCGACTCCCTGCTCTTCATCAGCAGGTCCGATGCGCCGATGGGGATGTGGGTGAAGCTGGTGTGTTACCTGGCGGAGAAGGGCGTGCCTGGCTTCCCGAAGAAGGGGTACGGCACCTATTACACCACGTGAGTGCAACTGCCACAATTCATTTAATGCACTTTGACGTGTCAATGTTTAGTTCCGAGGATAATGTTCTCACTACTATCTCTATGTGCATGCAGATACGGTTTCGGTGAGCTGACGCAAGCGACTGCGACATGGCTCCACACAACTCAGCTGGAACACGTCTTGGCGTCGCCCTTCGTCGGCATCTCGATCGACGAGAGCACGGATAGGTGCAGCAGGAAGCACCTAATCATCTTCATCACTTTCATCCGTGACAACAAGCTTGTCACGGAGTTGATGACGCTATTCACCGTGGAGAAGGCCGATGCAGCTTCCCTGCTCAGTGTTCTGGTGTCACATCTGCAGGCTGTCGGGGTCGACCTTCAGCGCATAGCGGGGATCAGCACGGACGGTGCCAACGTTATGATGGGCAGCAAGTCCGGCCTCACCACACGCCTCCGACTGCGCATCCCCCATCTCGTGTCTTCACACTGTATCGCGCACAGGTATGTATGTATGTGTAATCCCCATCACTTGTGTTGCGTCTTTTACGTCTGTGTCTTTCCCGATGTACTAAAGTTGTTTTCGTCTTTTGTACAGAGAGGCACTCGCGGCTAAAACGGCGGCCGAGAAATTTCCAGCGTTTAGTGTCATTGACACGGTGATTCGCACCGTGGCAGAGCATCTCGGCCGTTCGGGGCCGTGGCATCAACGGTTCATGGGGCTCCAAGAGGTCTTCACGTCCACCTCTCTTGAGCTCCAGGGCATTCATTCCGTCCGATGGCTTTCGCGGGGCGACGCAGTGCTCAGGCTTGTCGCGGTGCTTCCGGCACTCATCGTGATGCTTAAGGAGTGGGACGCGAACTCTATGCTCTTGTTACAAGTTACAAGTTTCATTTCCTTCTCTTCTTCATTGCTGATGTGCTTGAGCAGCTCAACATCCTGAACCGGGTGTTCCAGCACAAGGAGGTGAGCTTGGCCATAGGTTCCTGTTAATGTTTTGTTGCAGTCGTCATTATGCTTTGTTCCTATATGTTAACCGTGACCATACACTTACTACCTTTCTTTGTTTCCTATCCAGCTTGACTATGCCAGCGTGCATGTGCAGATCAAGCGCACACCGTCCCACATCGAGAGCCGCTACGTTGATTGCGGCGACGACTTCGGTGGTGGCGTGAGCGAGCTGCTGTCCCCCTTCATCGTGCGCCATGGGCCAGGAGGAAACCGGGAGGTGAAAGTCGAAGGGGTTGACTCAGACGGCCATCCAGCACGCTTGAAATTCATGCTGCATGAGGACGAGCTGGAGGAGTGGGAAGGGCCCGGGACCCATGATGACTGTGTGGAACCGTGCGCAGAGTTTGCGGAGGTGATTGTTCACCAACTCGAGCATCGGCTTGGCGACCTGGATGGGATGTTCGGGGTGAAGCTGTTCCTGCCTGACGAGTACCCGCTGGATCGAGTCGAGAGGAAACGGAGGTGCCTTCAGTGGCTACAGTCGCTGGTCACTTTGTTCAAGGCCGACCTGACAAAAGAGATCGTGCCAGGTAAGCCTTTTTGTGTGTGCCTTTAAAAATCGCTGGCTCGTTCCTCTGTGTCCTAGCATATATAGCTCTAGTATAGGTAGGTAGGACCCTAAATCTAACTGTTAATGCATCAGCAGTAGTATGTTATGTAGGCCTATAACTGTCTAATGTAGTTCAACCAAGGTCAACTGTACCTTATACAACACACGACTAAAATCAAAATCAGACTTGTCACTGGTGTAGACTCTGAATGCTTCAGACTTTTTTTTTAGGCACTCAAAAGTTTCAGCCTTTTTTTTCAACCAACTCTGATCAAATCAGACTAACACAGTGTACAAAGTCTGACAAATCAAACAGGCCAAAAACGAATCTGAGGGTCTGGTCCCAAATTGCGGACCTTGACTCTCGCGGTCCGCAATTTGGGACACGGGCTTTAACCCAAACTGTTTAAAACAACCCCTAATTCCGGGTAACTCAGGAATGAATACACAGGGGTGTGAAAATAGCCCGAGGTCAGAATGTTTTTTCCCAAAATTCCTGAAGGGCTTTAAACATGTT